TTTTCATAGCTATGATTCCCCCTTAGGGTTTCCCCCATATTATTGTGTATTGGTGAGATATGATGATTATTATTGATGTTTGATGTGATGATTCCATGAGGGATCTTGATAATCTTGATATTGGGAGGTTCTCGATAATTATGGTGTTCTTGATGATTATATGGAGTTCTTGATAATTATGTGTTGTTCTTGATAATTGTGTGATGCTCTTGATGCTTATGTGTTATTCTTACCGAATCTTGCAATTAGAAGACGAATCGTATCCTTGTTGATATAAAAGTGATTGGAACCCTAGGTTGTATCGTATGATATTATTCTTGGATTATCGGGTGGGGAAATCGCATGTTTGGGTGTTGATTATGTTTAGAAAAGCATGATAGGTTATGTGCTGTTCGTTTCTCGTATTTGATCCGTTCATTGTCTACGTGTTGTCGTTAATTGCGTCGTAAAGTGTCTAACCATGGTTTCGGGTTCCACAATGGTTCCCGGGGCAAAATTGTGTGATAAGAGTCAGTGGGGGGTAGGGGACCCGCCACCTACCCACGGCCGGTGATGTTATCACATCTTTGCTTGTTATTATAGTTATTTTGAATCATCTCAGTATTTAAGTTCTTTAATTTTGCTTATTTAATATATATTTTCCTTGCTATTATCATTTAATTATGGTTCACACTTGTTTTGAATGTTTTACGGTGTTTGTTAGTGTTTTTGACCCATTTTAGGTCAAAGATATGAGCAAGGGAAGTTCAAGGATGAGTTTTGAGCAACTTTGGACAAGTTCGGGGACCAGAGGACTCGACGCGTCGAAAATTTCCAGAAAGTTTGGTGATCGGGACCTGCTGGTCTCGACGCGTCGAGACTCAGCTCGACGCGTCGAGCGAAGGCGCGGAAATTAGAAGCAAAAGGGGCGTTGATATTCATACTCCAATTTTCCAATTCAAACCTCACATTCCATACAAAAAGGCGTTGTCTTCATCAAATTAACTTCAAATCAAATTCCAAATTCCAACATCAAAACTCCAATTAAGTGGGACGGCAATTTCTTTTAATTAATTATAGGAATTATAATTTGAGTCCAATTTTGTACAAGATTCCTATTTCATCTCAACTTTGTACCCACTATAAAATCCCTCCTTCCTCAACCCTAATAACGGACCGAGAGATTTTTACAGTTCTTTGTAGACAAGAAAGAGAGAAATCAAGAGGCTCAAGTCGTCTTTGGAAGCAAGGAGGAAGCCAGGGAGATTTAGGAGAATCGCTTGGTTAATTCTTGTACTCTTCTGATGATTTGTAATCCTTTATTCATATTTGCTATGTATAATTTAGCCATGCTCGGCTAAATTTCTTAAGGATTTTTGGGTGAATTTGTTTATGAACCTATGTGCCTAGTTCGTTAATTTCTTAATATATTTATGTTTGGTTTTATGATTTGTGTTGCAATCTTGTTTTAATCTGTTGTTGTTGGTAGCTAAAGGCCTAAATTACTAGCTTCACAGTCATGTTTGTGTCACCAATGGGAGTTGGGCCATAAATTAGGGCACACACGATTGCACCTAATGGTTGGTCCTTGGGAAAGGGGAACTTATTAGGGGAAGTTTATTCTAGATTATTGCTCATCGGGAGATGGTAGTAATTAGGAATAATTGAATGCTGATCTTTGATCTTATTGGGTGTTTAAGCCATGGGAGTGGAAATTCACTAGGAATAGAGATTACGGGAGTAATTCGATTCCACTTTGCATTCCCATACAAATCTTCATTCCAAACCAAATATTACAAACGTTAATTGGCACTAGGTGATTAAACATTGTGATCCCAAGAATCCTATTTTGCTCTATTGTCTACAAAACCTTGCTACTTATTTTATTCTGCTTGTTATTTTATGCAATCAATCAACCTTCAAGTTTTGTTCGGACTAGTTTCATATGAGTAACCTAGTAGCTAGTGATTAGTACACCACCTCTCTGTGGTTCGACAACCCGAATACTCCGGGTATTATTTGTTTGCCCCAAATTACAGTAATCAGCCGGAAAGTGTATCTCCGGCAGCGGGCAGCCGGCGGGCGGGCAGCTACCCGCCGGCGACCCACTGCCCGAAACAGTGTTACCAGCGGGTGGCCCCCCACCCACCGGCTACCCGCTGGAATTTCCCCCACCTTGGGACCCCGGCTTCCGCGTTTGATGTTCCCCCGTTCCCCGTGGTGTCCCAATGGACTCCGTTTATCGTGCCTATGTCTAGTTTGATGTTTCGGGTACCGTTCGTAGGTTTATGAGTCTATTATATTGCATGCTAGTTGGATTGGTATCCCGTTGACCTAGGTGGAAGGAGTATGAACCCCTTAGGACTATTCTTAGTATGTGATGGATCACGCATAGGTTTTGTTATGCGCTTTCTCCCCCTTCCCAATGGGCAATATGGGTTGCATGTGCTTGCTATGTGTTATGTGTGCGTGTTACCCCAATTCGGTTGCGATCGGATTGGTTATCCTGAGCTGCGGTTCAGAAGCTGGCTGCGGTCAGATTGATACTCTTGGGCTGCGGTCCACCGTTTGGTTGCGATCAAACATTTCTATACGAGCTGCGGTTCGTCCTTTTTCCTGGCTGCGGTCTGATGACATTCTCTTGGGCTGCGGTCCACTGTTTGGTTGCGATCAAACACTATGATGAGCTGCGGTTCATCGGTCGGTTGCGATCGACCCCTCCGTGTTGCGATACGGGGCAGGGTGCTGCGGGGCCGTGTCAGAGCTATATGCGCTGACCCTCATGTATGGGCATGCGATTGGTCCTGTGGCGCCAACAAAGTGTGCTATGTGTTGTGATATGGATGAGTTGTGATTATGAGTGTCTTGGGGGAATGTGACTGTGGGATTTATGTTGGGGATTGTTTATGTTGGGTTGTGATTATTGTTATGCTTTGCCTTATCTGCCTTATCTGTTGTGAACTGCATATGCTCGTTATAACTGTTGCTTGTGTCTGGCCTTATCTGTCGAGTCATTCCCGGTTTTAAAGCCAGAGTTCGTAGGATATATCTTCATGCTCAAAATGGTTTTCGTATATCTATATGTATTTCAACACGTTGGAGTGGGTTACCAGCATTTCTCGCTGAACAGATATATTTGGCTTTCAGGCACAGAGGACTAGAGCACCGGAGCGCGCTAGAACTGGAGCGTAGTAGTAGATTAGCTTCCCTTTCGGCCTGCGTGCCACATTATGCATTGTATTTCGGTGGATATTAGTTAGACAGCCTGTGCACCTGGGTTCTCTAGCCCAGGTGTGGCATAGCACCCCGTACACTTATGATATACTTTGGGATGTAACGAGATATTACCTTTATTATATAAGTTTTAAATGTCTTGAAAATCTGGGGTGTTACAACCGTCGTCCCCCGCCAACAAACCACCAACAAGACCACCAATTCATAGTACACAAGGTGCCATACATGGCGAAATACATGCCCGGATAACACATGTTATCCCCCAATCACGTGAACCTTACTCGAAGGACACATCTCCATAATCACGTCACGGCCACCACGAGGACCGCTGCAATACCTTGGTGACTAGCGTCCCATACCACTAATCGTGCAATCCAGGTAAAGCCACACACGCACCACCACCCACACGAGTCAATCAATGGATTACAGCGAAGATATGAAACAAACTCAATCAGGGAACGGGTCACCACCCAACGACAACAACGATGAATAACACAAGTTATCATCAACAAAACGGAAGGTACAAATCACACACACGCTAGCATTAAGACACTAAACTCGCATGCTTAACAACGGAGAAACTCAAGATAGTTCCGAGGAACACACAAGACACCTCTTGGTCCAACGAAACACAATGTTGAACACTTAGCACGATTCAAGACACCAAAGTCCTACATGGATACCTACCATATAGTTCTAGACATACGAAACATCAAGAAGACGCTCAAATAGTTCCACAAAAGAACAACGGGAAGTCAAAAGACCAAATACCGAGTCGAATGAATCACGGGGAACAAATCCCGATCCAACTCCACTGTGTTCCCCGCGGGTGGACCCACGGGTAGGCTCCCACCCGTGGTTCCGCCGGCGGGTACACTACCCACGAGGCTACATGTTCCCCGCGGGTGGGCGGCGGGTGGAGCTCGACCCGTCGTTCCGCTCGTGGGTACATATACCTGTGCAAAATAATCCCTTCGGGGATTTTCTTCTCCAAACACCAATTCAAGTCCAAAACATGCCAAATCTCACCCAACACAACAAAATGACTTGAATTATGGAAAATGCCAAGCAATGGCACAAAGGAACCCTAAACACAAGCTCTAGATATGCAATATCACAAGACAAATGCATAAACCCTCACATTTCATAGCAAAACACATGTAGAATCCAAGAAATCACATATAGGTAAGCAAAATAGGTTTTGTAGAGCATGGGTTACCTCTTGTAGACCAAAAGACTTCACTTTACACCACAACAAGCTCCCCACAAGGCTTACTTTCCAAACCCACTTTAAGATTAAACCAAAAGATCATAAAGATTCTACCTTTAAGAAAAAGACAACTAAGATGGAACCAAAAAGATAAGATAAACTTAGATCTTACCCTCCTAGATGCCCAAATAGGTGAAAGGTTGAATCTTGGAAGCAAAACTTGAAATCTTGACAAGGGTCTTAACTTGGCTTGGAGAATAAGCTACACTTCTTTTCTAGAGAGAAGGTAGAGCTAATTTCTAAGAATTCTAAGGAATGAAATGAAGAAGTCTTTTAGGTTAGGTTACAATACTAACTCTTGGTGAAAAGACAAGAATACCCTTACTAACCTTTAGAAAGTGTAAGGAACAAGGGAACTCCCCTCAAAGCTCAAGGTACAACACAACTTTAAGGTTGACTAGTCAAATACTAGTCCTTGAGCATTAAAAATCGGGATTTTATAAATTAATTCCTCAAATGAAATACGATTAATTACTCAATTAATCCATGGCTTGAATGTGGATTTTCGGGGTGTCACACTTCCACCGGCGATGAAAGGAGTCCGGGATTCAATAAAAGCGGTACTATCTGTGGGAAATGTAGGTATCTCCAGTGTGGATGGTACTTCTGGTTCAGCATCGGAGGGGGTAGCTTTGGATGACTTCGCCATTTGAGGTGTTTTGGATACAATAAAAGTGAGAAGGCAGATGGGAGATAGAGAGTGAATGAAAGGGATGAAGTATGATAGGAAGAGGGTTTATGTAGGGTTTTCTTGGGTCTCGGGTATACAGAGAACGGGTGACCCATTTGAGTGATGGTTTATTTGAATTTCAAAATATAACCAGTTCCAATTCTTCAAAATAGGTAATTGATCTGGTTATGAAGATATGATAAGATCATGCTCAGATCAGTTTTGATCATTCCTCATTAAATGAGGAGAGAGAAAACCACTCGAGTGCCTATGTATGCGTTAAATGCGCGTCAGTTCAACTGACAGAGATCATGGGGTAGTGGACCACCCTTCTCGGCCACACGATGACCATTATGAAAAAGTTTTAACGGTTCAGATGATCTTTATGATTTGTATCTTCTTGAGTACGTCTGAAAATCGAAACATGACAGATTTTACTTATCACAACGAAAGGTCCATGAGACAAATAAAGTCTCGTGAACCTATATGGAACATATAACGAGAATACATGACACAACTTGAGAGATGTTTATTACACGAGACATAGATATTAGACACTCTGACTACATCTCTCGTGCACAAGTTCTCACTCCTTGGCATCCTTCTGCTTTCGGGCACTCTCAATGTAGTCTTTCTTGAGAACTTCAAAAGCGAATACTTCATTCACAATAGTCTCGTGGTCTGTTCCCATTGCATCTCTTGAAAGACCTCTCTTTTCCATATCATCTAATTCAGCCTTGACTCGAGCTTCAGCAGCATCATGAATGGCCATGAATTTTTCCTCAGTTTTGAGTTGTGGTGCAAGCTTCACAAATGAGAGGAAATGAGAGATGCTCGAGGCCTTGGTTGATCCATCATTTGAGGATGATCCTTCCAGTAGTGAATTGTTGAGTTCATAACGAGGATCGTTCTTAGATCGAACTTTCTTAGACAGACTCCTCGTTGTGAGACACATCTCTTTCCCTTTATCCATGATGATATTAATTGAGAAGAGCGAAGCCATGTTTTCCAAGATAAGCCTTTATATAGATGATAATTTCATCAAAAGATGTGACCCCGAATGACAGGTCACTGAGATAACTAGCACGCTTAAGAGAATATATTCATTTCCAAGAAAGGCAAGCGTGGTCAGAGATACTTTGGTGTAAGTGCAAACGAAACAACTAAAGTTTCGTTCATCACATATGCAAGCCCGAATTGAGACATAAAGACCAAGATTATATTATTAAACCAAACGAGAGGTTGATACATAAAAGAAAATACATAATTAACGGATCAATTTTTCTTCCTCTCGTTTTCCTCATGCTCACGAGGTTCAGCTTTCGGCTTTTTGAGTTCTGCCCACATCCTTTTGTACCATTTCCCAGTACGCAGAAAATTCGAATCAGAAGACGAAGCCGGTTCTTCTTCATCCTCAGATTTGGGCTTTTCTTGTAGATAGTTAACGTAGTCCTTGTCATAGTACTTGTTGGGCAGATCAGTGGGTGTTTTCTCTTGTTGAGGGGCTTCTTCTTCCACAGGAGCCTCTTCAGGTTCCTCAACAATGTACGCAGCCATTTCATCATACAGAGGTGATGATTCGGTGTGTGAGGAGACCTCTAGCGGTGCTTAGAGACTGTTACCAGGGTATAGGTCTCCCTGCTCTTCCCTAATTTTCTTGGCGAGTTCTCTCTATTTTTGAGAATCGCCTCTAGTAAAAGGCTTTTTAGGATACATTTTGAAGATAGAGATGGTAGAGAAGAGTGAAATATATCCGCCTTTTATAGATGTGATGATAAGAAATACTTGATGCAAAACTGCCCACAGCATTCAATGCTGTAATTAATAGCCATATATTTCTTCAACTGACCATTAATGTCGTAGAAGACTTTGAATGGATATTTTCAAGAATATCATAATTCCAAGGTCAGTGAGTTGATTCCAAGGCGTACAAATATCAGGCAGTCAGAGTTTCATGCCAGAAAATTTTCATTAATAAATGCACGAAATATAGATGACCAGGACGGCAGAATTAAAGATGATTAATGAACATATAACAAAGAAATTTTCATTTCTTCGCCTTTCCCTTCCTTGTCTTGCTAGTTTCGCCATTGGACCCCTTAGGCGTTTTCTTTGTTGTAGGAGCATTTGGACTGGATGGTCCATCGGATAGGTGCATTTCCTTATCAGATTCTCCTTCAATGTACCCTACAAGCTCAGTCTTGCAGTCATAGGTTTAATAGAACTCCCGAAGATCCTTGTCCATAGTGGGGTTGTTCCAAGTATTCAGAGATAGATAACCTTTTCTAACAATTAGAGGAGGTTCCTCATTAGGATCAAATGAACTGATATCTTTATTAGCACTCATTTTGATGAGTTCATCAAAGTCTTCAATTTCGGAGTCAGATGAGATAACCAGAGGATCATGAGGATTGTTACCGAGATAATGATCGTCTTGTTCGTCTTCTTCAAGACGAGCTCTGGTTCTCCTTGATGTTTTCCTAGTGATTGAAGCTTTAGGAGCCATTGTTGCGAAGTGAGAGATGCATTAAAGTGGAATCAATGGCTTCCTTTTATAGCAAAATGAGATGGTGATCAGTGCTTGCCCATTTGTTTGATCCAACGGTTAACCACTAGGAGAGCCTATGGTTTATGTAGGACCAATTAGCATATAGATCCATGCATTTATTGTCATGTTTGAAGCTTTTAAGAAATAATGCACAAGAAATAATTCCATCTTTGACCCGAAAGGAGTATTCTGACAGCAAAGTAACATGGTCAAAAGAACAATTAGTAATGGTAATAAAGATAGGGAATTTCATTAAAATGAATCAGGCAGAAGTGCCCCAAGCCATACAGATAAAACAAACATTATTCAAAGAAAGCGATAAGGCACGTTAAGCTCCAGATGAGTCAACTCATCAGTCACATCAGGCAAGTTTGCCTTGTTTGCATATTCGTCCAGTTCCTCTAGAGAGAGGGTGGGCATAGTTGAGTTAGTTGGTGACTGAGAGTGAACTAAAGTAAAATCTTCATAAGGTTTCTCACTCCTTTGTGGAGCTTCAGGAACTGGATACCAACAAGAGGTGGGTGGATGGGATGAGTGCTGGTTTGCACTTTTCAACACCATCTTCCTTTCGTTTGCCAACCGTTTTGCTTGTTCCAGACAAATGGTTTGTATGGCCTGAGATTCGTTGACAGTGTTGTCCAGAATCTCTCTTTCTTTCGGGGTTGCCGTGTTTGGCATGGAGAAGGTTATGTGGACCCTATCACCATCTTCCACTAGTTTCATGATTGTGGCACTTGTTAGTTTGCTTGCTTCCTGAAGGTGGTGATTGTGTCGTACAGCTCGTCTCTCGGCTTCATCCATCTTTCCTTTGCCCTTATTCATACCTGCAAGATTTACTCACTAAAAGACTGAGTGTGTGAGTGGAGATCATGAAAGAAGGTTCCAATTTATAGGTGTAGAGGTTGCGGTGCAGATTTGTTTAAAAGATTATAGATGGCAACACTAGGTTTCGTGTAAAAGACGTAATCAGAAGTTTTGTGACAGCCTTTTTCATAGTAAATCAAGAAAATAAATCCATCCATACGAAATTTATTCATGATAGATAGAACCACAGCTTATCATTGTGACCCAAAATAATTTTTAGGTCATTTTCTTCTTGCTGCTAGCTGTGGACTTGAGTGGTGAGGGCATTTTTAGAGGAGTGCTTGATGGTGAATAGTCAAAACTGTCACTTCTTTCCAGCACACTATCCTCCTTTGCATATCCTATGGTATTGCCGACTGAGTGAAATGATTCACGTGATTCTTGCTCCGTTGGTTCACAAAGAAGATTTTGTATATGTTGTGAACTTGCTAGAAATTTGTTTAGTGCCTCTTCATCAACTAGAGGATCATGGAAGATTTCAGTCTCTTCTTTTCTCTTTTCTGTGATTGTCGTTTTTGCTTCACTTCCTGTACTCATTCCTGCACAATCAAAGACAAAATCTAGATTTCTTACTCAAAAGGTGGGTTAGTGTGGATTTGGTGACAGTATGTTCTCCCTTTTTATAGAGAACTTGCGTGTGAGAATGAACCAAATCTTTATGATGAGTATATCGAGGAGATTCTATAAGAATATTGTGAGAATCTTTGCAGATTTGATTCCCGAATTTTATGCCATCTCAATCATCCCGATTTCATGTCTTAGAGTAGAGAATCTTGCTTCACTTAAGGGTTTTGTGAGAATATCTGCAAGCTGATCACCAGTATTGACATATTCAAGAGATATATCTTTTCTCTCAACATGATCACGAATGAAATGATATTTAATATCAATATGTTTAGTTCGTGAATGTAAAACAGGATTGTGTGTGATGGCAATTGCACTAGTGTTATCACATTTGATGCTCACTTCTCGTGCATTTATGCCATAATCCTTTAACTGATGAGTCATCCAGAGAATTTGGGCACAGCAACTTCCAGCTGCTATATATTCGGCTTCAGCCGTGCTGGTAGCAATGGAGTGTTGCTTTTTACTAAACCAAGACACAAGTCTTCCCCCTAGAAACTGGCAAGTTCCTGAGGTGCTTTTTCGATCAATTCGGCATCCAGCAAAATCGGCATCTGAATATCCAACAAGATCGAAGGATCCTTCTTTCGGGTACCAAAGTCCAACGCTTTGAGTCCCTTTAAGGTATCTTAAGATCTTAGTGGTTGCACTTAAGTGACTTTCTTTTGGTTTAGCTTGAAATCTAGCGCATACCCCAACATCAAACGAAATGTCAGGTCTGCTTGCCGTTAGGTATAGGAGAGATCCAATAATTCCGCGAAAGTTCTTTTGATCCACATCTTTTCCTTCATTGTCAATATCCATTCTAAGAGATGTGCTCATAGGAATTTTGACTGATGTTTTTCTATCAATGCCAAACTTTCGGATTAGATCCTTAGTGTATTTAGCTTGACTAATAAAAATTCCATCTGAGCATTGCTTTACTTGCAATCCCAGAAAGTAGTTTAGTTCTCCCATCATGCTCATTTCAAATTTTCCATGCATGAGAGTTGAGAATCTTTCACATAGAACATGATTCGTGCTCCCGAAAATGATGTCATCAACATAGATTTGTACTAAGAGAATATGATCATTATCTTTAATACGAAAGAGCGTCTTGTCTACGGCTCCTTTCGTGAAAACACAGTTGATGAGAAAATGTGAGAGTGTATCATACCAAGCTCGTGGAGCTTGTTTCAATCCATATAGTGCATTTTTGAGATGGTAGACTTTTTCTTGTCCACAGTCAACCGCAAAATGCAGGCGGTTGCTCAACATATACTTCTTCTTCAAGGAGTCCATTCAGGAATGCACTTTTGACATCCATTTGATAAACTTTGAAGTCTTTGTAAGCTGCATATGCAAGAAATATTCGTATAGCTTCAAGTCTAGCTACGGGGGCAAAGGTTTCATCAAAATCAATTCCTTCTTCTTGACAGTATCCTTTAGCAACAAGACGAGCTTTGTTCCTAACAATGAGTCCATTTTCACTCATTTTGTTTCTAAAGACCCATTTAGTTCCAATGACATTTTGATGTGTTGGTCTCAAAACAAGTTCCCATATATCATTCTGTTCAAATTGATGAAGCTCTTCTTGCATAGCTATCACCCAGTCAGGATCACTTAAAGCTTCTTCTATGGATTTTGGTTCCATTTGTGATAGAAAACAAGCCACATGTTTTCGTGCAGAGAGGCTCTTGTTCTTACTCCTTCTTGACTGTTCCCAATTACTTGATCAGAAGGATGATCTCTTAACCATCTAAGGTCGGGTTCAAATGTATTTTGCTGATTTTGTACATCCATTTCCGGGATATAGGGTAGTTGAACGTAGATCATAGGTTCAGATGGTGCTTGAGTATCCGAGATATTGTGTTGTACTCCATTACTTTCTTGAGCTGTAACTTCGGGTTTAGAAATCTTCAACTGATATTTCGTGTAGGAGGTTAAGATGTCTTCGTCGTCTGAGACTTCTTCTTCATTTGGTTCTTGAGAGCTTTGATTTGGATTGTCAGATGGTTCAACACCAATTGGATTTTTCTCAGATTGTTCGTCGAACTTAACATGTATGGATTCCTCGATGACCATTGTTCGTTTGTTTAAAACTCTAAAGGCCTTACTTACTGAGGAGTAACCCATGAACAATCCTTCTTTCGCTCATTCGTCGAAGGCTTTCAGATGATTCTTCCCATTGTTGTGAATAAAGCACCTGCAACCAAAGGTATGAAAATAGCCTATGCTAGGTACTTTACCTTTCCATAGTTCGTAAGGAGTTTTGTTGTGGGTCTTGTTGATCAAGGATCGGTTTTGTGTATAGCATGCTGTGTTTATGGCTTCGGCCCAAAATCGCTTTGGTAAACCTGAGTGAGCAACCATTGTTCGTGCAGCTTCTTTTAGGGTCCTGTTTCTTCTTTCGGCTACTCCATTTTGTTGAGGAGTTCGTGCTGCCGATAGTTGATGAAAGATTCCATTTTGTGCACAGAAATCTTTTATGACCTTGTTAACGAATTCAGTTCCTTGATCTGATCTTATTCGAATGATTTTGACCTCCTTTTCTGTCTGTAGTTGTCTCAAAAGATTTGGAAGGATGATTTCTGTTTCATTCTTTTTCTTCAAGAAGAGCACCCAAGTATATCTCGTGTGATCATCTACTACGACGAGAGTATACTTTCTCCCACTCAGACTTGCTGGATCAACTGGTCCTAAGAGATCCATATGTAGGAGACTTAAAGAACGAGAGTTTGCATCCACATCCTTGGATTTGGAAGATGATTTGATTTGTTTTCCCTTTTGACATGCTTCACAGATCTTGTCTTTCATGTAGGATGCTTTAGGTAATCCTTTCACGAGATCTTTCTTTGCTAGCTTGTTGATGGTTTTTAGATTTAGATGACTCAATTTGTTGTGCCATTCTTGACTTAGATCTACATTACTCTTAGCCACAAAACAGACGTTAGCGTTAGAAGAATTCCACGAGATTACGTACATGTTTTTTTTTCGTTGGCCAGTTAATGCGATTTCTCCATCTCTCGCGTTGACTATTTTGCAATTGTCCTTGGAGAGTTTGACTTTGTAGCCTTTGTCACAGAATTGACTTGTGCTCAGGAGATTGAATTTTAGCCCTTCAACATAAGATACGTCTTGGATGGTTATTCCCTTTTTGATGATGTCTCCTGTTCCACGAGTTTTACCACTGGTTTCTCCTCCAAAGATGACTTTAGGTCCATCGACTTCTTTGAAATTGCTCAACATCGTTTTGTCACCAGTCATATGTCTTAAGTAGCCATTATCGACATACCATATGACTTGCTTGTCCTGCAAGAAAGATTATATGTTTTTAGGTACCCCTTGAGTTTCGGGTCCTTGAGGGTTAGATGTCAGCTTTGGAATCCACATGAACCTAGAGTTTCCTCGACTCATCCTTGGTCCTTTGTATCCATTAGATGTACGGTAATCATAATGGATCTTGCCAAATGATTTAGCATTATATCTCTCGTGAAAATATTCTTCAGGAGGATTTTCATAATACTTGGAATAATTGGTTTGTTTACGCAGATTAACTTTTTCAAATTCAGCTCTTAATAGGGGTTCTGGGTAATCAAACCAATCTTCCTCTGATGGCCCAGTCCACCCATTGCCATAACCAGATCTTTTGAAGGATCTTTCGTTTTGTCTGACTCGTCCATTTCTCGGGGTTCCTTGGTCAGGATTCTTTTTTGTTGGTTTTGGACGATACTGCCTCTGGTTAACATTCGGCCTATTCCTTGATTAAATATTCTTGTAAGGCTGACCCTTCTTATGGTTTAGATTTTGTCTATTGCCATTTGGTCCATTCCTTTTGACATATTTTTGTCTAGGATTGCCTTTGAAAGATCTTTCATTTCCTGGATCCACAATTCGTTGTACAGCCTTACCTTTTGGTTGGCTTGTTGATTGTGGTATGGCGACATCGTTAACTTTCGTCATAGGCTCAGACACCTGGGTTGGGCCTTGAACAAATGCTGATTGAAAACTCTCGTGAGAATAAGCATTAGTGGATTTGTTCAAGTCGATTTGTGATGAGGAGCTGGGGTCAAAACCAATTCCCGTTCTTTCCCCGGGTAGTCTAGATTCATTCACCATTCGGTCCATTAAATTGGACGAATTGTTGAATTTATTCAAGACTTCACGTAATTTTTGCTCTCTCTTTTCTCTTACTGTACACTGCCCTTTCAGAGCGAGAACATTTTCCTCAAGTTGCTTCTTAGCAATGGCTAGCATTATGTTCTCAACTCGAACTTGCCTTAGCGCATTATAGCTAATCATAAGCCGAGAGTTCTCCTCCTTTAGTTTAGAGTATGTGCTTTTGATTATTTTGAACTTCCTCATCATTTCGGTAACTGATTCATTGGAAGTTTGACTCCCCACAGAACTGGACTCTGCTGAATAACAAGAGGATGATTGAGAATTTACCTCATCCTCATCGGCCATAAGGCATAGATCTTCTGTCTCTTGGCTAATCAGAGATAGCAGTCTGTTAGGAATAAAGTGTAATGGTTTTGATATGCCAAACTTGTATTTGTAGATCCCCCAATTTTATTTCTAAGTCTAGTAGAGTCTTAGACCATGATCGGGAAATTATTTAAGTTGGAAAAGAGAAAAACAGAGGAAGATGCATGAAAATAGAAGAAGAAGATATAAAGCCTAAAATCAAGAATTTGTCTGGAGAAAATGACAAATTGAAGAAGAAGATGAAAGATATGAAATCACGTCAATGCTACTCAAAGAAGATATCCCAGAAGAATTTTCGTGAAGAAAATTAATATTGGAAGAATGCATGAAATTGACTTGGAGATCAAGCATCTATGGAAAGAAAGAAGTACATCAAATGTGATTGGAGATTTAATCAGAAGTTGTACGGACGAAGTGGATGATGCTTGATATATTATGTGAAATGGCTCAGGTTTGAAACTCACCATTAACAATTTTACAAGGTAAAATTTGAGAAGTCAAATTAAATTAATCTGATGGAGTTGGGCGCTAGTTTAAGCTTTGGGCGCCAATTACAAGTGGAAATTGGGAAGCAATTTCACTGCTTTGGGCGCCAATTACAAGTGGAAATTGGGAAGCAATTTCACTGCTTTGGGCGCCAATTACAAGTGGAAATTGGGAAGCAATTTCACTTGGGTGGCAATTGAGATGCAATTGCACTTGGGAGCCAGTTTCAGAGAAATTGAAATTGGGAGCAAGTTTCACATGGGAATCAATTCAAGATGGGAGCTGAAATCAATTGAATATGGGAGCAAAATCAATTGAAATTGAAATTGGGAGCAAGTTTCACATGGGAATCAATTCAAGATGGGAGCTGTTTCACATGGGAATCAATTCAAAATTGGAGCTGAAATTGGGAGCAAGTTTCACATGGGAATCAATTCAAGATGGGAGCTGTTTCACATGGGAATCAATTCAAAATTGGAGCTGTAGAATTGAGGTTGTAGTATGGGATGCAATTTCAAGTTGGGGACAGATTCAAAGACAGATTCAAAGAAGTGGGATGCAGTTTCAAGTTGGGGACCGATTCAAAGAAGACATAGAAGACATGGAGATCAAATTGGAGAAGACATAGAAGACATGGAGATCAAATTGAATTGAGATGAAATTCAAATACCAGGAGAAGTCTGGGAGCCAATTTCAAAGTCAAAGTCAACAATTCAAATTATTGCAAGTCAAAGTCAATTGGGAGCCAATTACAATGGAGAAATTCAAATTGGGTGCCAATTACAATTATTGCAAGTCAAAGTCAATTGGGAGCCAATTACAATGGAGAAATTCAAATTGGGTGCCAATTACAAGCCAATTGAAATTGGGTGTCAATTATAAAGGAGAAATTCAAATTGGGTGGAAGTTCAAAGCCAGTTTGAAGTCTGAGAACACCCAGACGTGAGAATGAAGAAGATGAAGATGAACTTACAGTGAAAATATTCTCACAAGAAAAAATACTAGTTTAACTAGTATGAGATTAAATTAATGAATATTTTTTTAAATCCCAAAGATACAAGGACCACTTCAGAGCTAATCAGAGAAGCCGTTCTACACCCAGATATTTCCACTCAACGTAAAACCAGAGGAAATATCAGATGAAGTTCAAGAACCCATTTACATGGAGATGAAGCTCTAACAACGGCTAGCTTATCCTTTCTGACATCTTTGCAGAAGATAAGATAAGATCTCTGACAAAAAGATACAAGATTTCAAAAATTAGAGCGTCTCTTTCCAACGGACAGATTCTCATTACCAGCTATAAAATGATGAAGATATGAAGACTT